TGTCGTTACTAGTTCTTATTAATGATTTTCCTTGTCGTTACTAGTTCTTACTGATTTTTCCTTGTCGTTACTAGTTCTTATTAATAATTTTCCTTGACGTTACTAGTTCTTACTAAAAAAAAATCCTTGTCGTTACTAGTTCTTACTGATAATTTTCCTTGCCGTTACTAGTTCTTATTAATAATTTTCCTTGTTACTAGTTCTTACTAATAATTTTCCTTGTCGTTACTAGTTCTTATTAATAATTTTCCTTGTCGTTACTTGTTCTTATTAATAATTTTCCTTGTCGTTACTAGTTCTTGCTAATAATTTTCCTTGCCATTACTAGTTCTATTAGCTCAAAGGGTTGTTCATAATTATGATTTAATTATATAATCTCTTTATCGAGTTAGGAGAAATATCATTTATCTCTATCAATTCATTTTTAATGCTGTTCAATCATTGTTCATAACTGTAGAAAAGGTATGAATGAGAATGAATATTTTCACAATACAAGAGATGTATTTAACCGGTTTCGACTGCATATTCGTCAGTGTATCTATCTATCTATCTATCTATCTATATATATATATACACATTGTATGTATATACTTCATTATAAATTACGTCATATTTAATGTATAGGTTATTCCTATATCCCTTTACTTAGATATTCATAAATGTATTTACTACTTTCGAAACTATTCCCCATACTTTAGACGATTCCTTATTAGATTTCCAACTTCAACTTATCCTTCCACATCCAATTTAGACTCCAAAGATCAACTTCAAAATCCAACTTCGAAATCCACATTAGATTTCTACACCCAATTTAAACTTCAAAGCTCAACAGAAACTTCAAAATCCAACTTAAACTTCTACATCCAACTTAAATTTCTACATCCAACTTAAACTTCTAAGCTCAACATAAATTTCTACATCCAACTTCTATGCTCAACATAAACTTTTAAATACAACTTCTAAGCTCAACATAAACTTCTACATCCATCTTAAACTTCTCCATCCAACATAAACTCCTAAACTCAACCTAAACTTCGAAACGGAACTTACCTCGCGAAACCACCTTGAACTTTTTCTCACGCCCTCCCTCCCTCCCTCCCTTGCAGACGAGCCCCTCCGCGTGACGGGCAAAGTCTTGGGCAAAATCAACGGCGTGGATCTCAAGGACGCTGATCTCCACTCGTACGTGCTGACCGCTGAGGGCCGTACGTACACGGCCATCTCCCGCGTGCCTTCGGAAATCGGCTACGACATCCAGAGTATGACGGCCCTGGGCGTGGGCGTGGCGTGGCTCTTCGCTAAGTCCGTAGGGAAAGCGCCCAATGGCTTCTCCGTCACAGGTGAGGATGAGTGGTCCTTGGGATGAGGGATGCGGTGTATAAACTTTATGTGTGTACGTCTTCATGTATGTATGTATGTATGTATGTATGTATGTATGCATGTATTTATGTATGTAGGTATGATGTTGATATGATATGAATATAACTACCTATATGGTATTGATATAATATGTATGTCTATATGTAATATTGATATGATATGCATATAACCTATATAGTGTTACTATGATATACCTATTCATATATATTAATATAATATGCATATAACTATATATTATTAACGTGATATGCATATACCTACATGATATTAATAAGATATGTATATAACCATATAACACTGATATAATATGCATTTCCCAAAATAATACATCCATGAAAAAATAAACCTTTGAACTACCTAACAATTTTTTAAATACCAATAGATACCCTCCTTTATTCATTACTTTCAAAAACAGTTTCCTAATAGCCAAACTTCCCTCCCTCAGGTGCAAACTTTAACCGAACCACCGATGTCAACTTCCCTCAGACAGGCCATCACGTGATCGTTCAGCAACACTTCATGGTAAGCTGTGATAAGGATAATTAAAGTAATGATGTTTATGTGATTATCATTATTATCATTATCTTCATTGTTGTTATTATTATAATTTTTGTTGTTATCTATTATGTTATGATTTTGTTGATGTTGTTATTATTGATATAAGTAGTGTTGTAATTACTGTTGTTATTATTATTATCATTATTATTATTGTGATTATTACTATCGATATCATTATTATCATTATTATTATGATTAATACTATCAATATCATTTTTATTATCATGATTATTATTATCAATATCATTATGATTATTATTACCATTATTGCTATTATTTTTTTTATCCATATCATCCTTATTATCATCGTTATTATTATTATAATTTTTGTTATTATTATTATTATTATTATTATTATTATTATCATTATTATTAATGTTATTATTATTGTTATTATTATTATCACTATCATTATCATCATTATATTTTATTATTATCATTATCATTATTACATGATAATAATAATAATAATTATTATTATTATTATTATTATTATCATTATTATTATTACATGATAATAATAATAATAATAATAATAATTATTATTATTATTATTATTATTATTATTATTATTGTTGTTGCTGTTATTATTATCATTATCGTTATTATTTTGACCTCGCCTCTCCCCCCCTTCCTCCCCCAGGGCTTGGACGTCTTCAACAACATCCAGGTGAAGACGACCATCACGGGATCGATTCCCACGGTTCCACTGGGCTCTAAGATCGAAATGGATGCCTTCAACGAGGAGTATACCAGGGTGAAGCCAGGTGGGTGGTGAGGCTGGTGGTGTGGTGAGGGTGGTGGTGTGGTGTGGTGTGGTGGAGGTGTGGTGGAGATTGTAGTGGTGGTGGTATGGTGGAGGTTGTGGTGGAGAGTGTAGTGGTGCAGTGGTGGTGGGGGAGATTGTGGTGGTGGTGTGGTGTGGTGGAGATTGTAGTGGTGGTGGTGTGGTGTGTTGTTGTGTGGTGGTGTGGTGATGGAGATTGTGTTGTTGGTGGTGGTGTGGCAGAGAGTGTGTTGGAGATTGTAGTGGTGTGGTTGGTGTTGGTGATGTGGTGGAGATTGTAGTGGTGGTGTTGAGATGTGGTGGTGTGGTATTGAAGATTGTGTTGATGGTGGTGTGGTGTTGGTGATGTGGTGTGGTGCTGGATATTGTGTTGGTGGTGGTGTTCTGTAGCTGTTTTTTTCGGGTGTTGTTGGCGATCTGGTGTGGTGTTGGAGAGTGTGTTGGTGGAGTAGGTGTTGATGTGGTGTAGCGGTGGAGTTTCGTACCTGATTTAAAGATGTGTCATTAGCGATCTGGAGTGGTGTTGGAGTTCGCGTAACTGTTTTTGTTGTTCTTGTTGGTGGTGAAGACTGCTTTTGTTTTGTTGTTTTGGTGGTGATGTGTTGGAGATAACTGTTTTTGTTGGTGGTGGCGGCCGTGCTGATGCTAGGATGTTATTGATGGTAATTATGGTGTTGATGTTGGCGGTGAAAGGTGGTGTTGGTAAATACGTATTTGTTTTCGTTGTTGATGGCGGTCCTGTGGTAGAGTTGGTGATAGGTGGTGGTGATTCTACTATTCGTAATGTTGTTATCAGTGGGCTTGTTTCTCTTGTAGAATGTTCAACGGTGAAGTTCGTATTGGTGCTGTTGTCGTTGCTGTTATTATTATTATTATTGTTATTATTATTATTATTATTATTGTTGTTGTTGTTGTTGTTGTTTTGTTGTTGTTATCATTAATGTTATCACCATCATCATTATTATTATTATCATTATCATTTTTATTATTATTGTTATCGCTATTATTATTATTGTCATTATGATTATTATCATCATCATTATCATTATTATCTTTATTGTTATCCTCATCATCATCGCTCCCCCTCACCACCCCTCTCCCCCCTCCCTCTCATTATCACCATTACCACCCACCATCCCTTTCTCCTCTCTCTCCCTCCCTCCCCTCTCCCTCACCATCACCACCCCCATTACGATCATTACTATCCTCCTCACCATCCCTTTCCCCCTCCCCCTCCTCCTCACCCCCCATCACCATGCTCCTCACCATCCCTCTCCCCCTCCCCCCTCCTCCTCATCATCCCTCTCCCCCTCCCCCCTCCTCCTCACCATCCCCCCACCATTATTATCCTCACCATCACTGCCTTTACCATCCTCTCCCCCTCCCCCCCACCATCACCATCCCCCCATCACCACCATCACCATCCTCCTCACCATCCCTTTCCCCTCCTCATCATCATCCCCCTCCCCCCACCTCCTTACCATCACCCCCACCATCACCATCCTCGCCATCACTGTCCTCACCATCACTATCCTCACCCCCTCCTCCTCACCATCACCCCCACCCTCCCCCACCATCACCATCCCCCCATCATCACCATCCTCCCCCTCCCCCACCCTCCTCCTCCTTCTCACCATCCCCCCACCCTCCCCCCCATCACCATCCTCACCATCACCATCCTCACCATCACTATCCTCCTCACCCCAACCCCCACTTCCCCCCACAGGTCAGCTACGAGCGAGGTCAAGCCGGGTCTTCCGCCTCAAAGGTCAAACGATAGACACTCCCTTCAGCGTGGAAACCACTTTGGACTATGACGAGTGTGACTGGAAACCTCGGACGCCTGAGGAGGATGAGACTATTCGACTGAAGGTGGGTTTTTGGGAGGGGAGGGGAGGGGAGGGGAAGGAAGGGGAGGGAAGGGGAGAGAGGGAGGAGGGAGGGAATGGGAGGAAGGAGGGAGGTAAGGGGAGGGGAGGGAAGGAGGGAGGGAAGGGGAGGGGAGGAGGGAGAGAGATAGTGAGGGAGGGTGGATATACATACATACATACATACATACATGCATACATAAACACACACACACACACACACACACACACATACATACATACATACATACATACATATATACATATATACATACATACATACATACATATACACACATACACATACATACAAACATGCATACATACAAACATACATACATACATAAATACATAAATACATACATACATACATACATACATACAAACATACATACACACTTTTATAT